AGAGAGAGAGAGAGAGAGAGAGAGAGAGAGAGAGAGAGAGAGAGAGTTCTCTAGTGTTTAAAAAAACACAATGTTGAAAATGTGGCTTGGAAATGCTGGATCCTACATTTCCCATAATGCAGTTCAACAGAGAAAAGACAGCTCTCTTTCTCCAGAGCCACAGAAGCGTCACAGGTTGAGTAGAATACCCCATGACGAGGAAACTAAACTTCCCGTGATTTTAATAACACACACAGGTGTGACATGAAAATCGACTCTGATACCGTGGTAAAACTCCAGTAACAGAAATGCAAATAGACTTATTATATAATTGACTTTTACAAACCAAAGTTGTTTTCTGAAACTCATGTCAATAAGCAGTTCTCCGGAAAAAGACATTCAGTATGAAGGTGATAATACAATGTTATGTGTGCTTTTGAGATGTTAAAGACGACCTCTGACAGAACATGACGAGGAGAGACATATCGAAACTCAATACTTACTGAAATTGAACCATTAACACAAATATATTTATATGTTTTTTTTTATTTTTTCATTGATATTTGTTGTTTGAAAATTATTAATTTGGGAAAAAAGTGGATCACCCGGATTAAACCCCCAAAAGAATCACAATGAAATTAAGAAAGTTTGTTTTTGGAGAAAAAAAAGGAAAACCAGAGTACAACCTGGTAAAGTTTATTTTAGAAATGTAGGGAGCGGACGTGTTCTTGGAGGACGTCTTGTTGTCTGCGGTTGTCATCCCTCTTCACCGTCATCGCCTCACACTTTTCCTTCAGAGCCTTTTCTTTGTCCGCTTTTTTATTCAGCTTCTGGAGTTCTTTACGGAGGGCGTTGTTCCGTCGTTTGATGGTGTTTTTCTCCGCTCTCAGGGAGTCGTAGATGTCGGTCAACGCTTTCTCACCCTGGAGTATGTTGCTGAGCTCCTCAGCCTTAAGATGAAGAGTGTCGTTTTCTTGGCTCAGGGCTTCGTTCTCTGTCGTTATCGCAGTGTTCTTGTCCTCGTAGATTTGTTCTTGTGAGAACTTTTTCTCCAGTTCCTCAAGTTCTTTTTTCAGAGAGATATTTTGTCTTGTTAGAATGTTTTTCTCTGTCTTCCTTTCAACATAATCTGCCTTAATGGCATCCACAAATATGAGGATGTTGATTAAACCGCAGATTGTTTCTGTCCATTCATTGTTCTGTCTCTTCAAGGCGTCAGTCTGTTCCTTCAGCACGTCATACTTTGTCTTCCAGTTTTCTTCTTCCAGAAGCTTGTTGAAGGCCTCTAAGTGGGATTTGATCAGGTCTTTGTTTTGTGCCACCAGGACTCTCTCCTCAGCTTCCAGTTCAAAGAGATTGGTCTTGAAAGTGTTTCTGACCGTGAGCTCTTCATTGACGACCTGGATTTGCTGCTTCAAACCGTGGTTTTCTTTCTCCACCGCGTCCATGCGGCCCTGTGTTTCGTTGCACCTGTCACTCCAGATCTTCACCACATCATGCTCTTGGTTAAGGCGCTGGAGTTCCTGCTGCAGGGCCTCATTTTGACGGCTGAGGTCTTCAATTGAGGGTTGCATTGCCTCGTTTGTTACCTGCAAAGCTTTTCCAAACTCGACCTGTTTGTATAACTCTTTAATCTCATGTTGCAGAGCGTCGTTGTCCTGGCTGATCGCCTCTTTCTGAGCTTTTACAACTTTGCATGATTCAACCAAGGCTTTGACGTGCTGCTGTGTGTCCTTGAGCTGCAGGAGTTCCTTTTGCAGCAGTAGTTTTGATTGCTAACAACTTTGTGCAAAGCCGCCTCGTCCTGGAGCTCTATGTGCAACTCCAGCACTTCAAACTGCAGAGTGTCGTTCTCCTGGCTGATGGCCTCTCTCTGAGCTTCTGTGTCAAGCTCTAACATGCTGGTTCCTATCTTTGAGCAGCTGGAGTTCTTGTCTCATGGCCTTGTTTTCCAGGTTCAATGCATCTGTCTGCTCTTTCAGTGCGGTGTACGCTTCCTCCGAAGTGGTCGCATCTTGCAGTTCTTTCTCAAGGTCCATAATGTCTTTCTTGAAATTCAGGTTCTCTTGTCTTGCGACTTCATAGGCTGCCTCCACATTGTCCACGCTCTTCAGCTTTTTCTTCTGGTCCCGCAGTCTTCGTCGCAGACTTTCCTGCTGAAGGCCCGTTGCTGTGTTTGATGCTTTTGCCTCTTCATACATTGCATCAACAGTGCTGTGATTTTGGACCTTGTCAATGAGCACCTTCACCTTTTCTCGTAGTTCTTCAATATCTTCCTTTGCAGCATTTTTTTCTGACCTGAATTGCTGACATTTCTGATGTTTTGTCTGCAAAGATTCCCAGTCTGCAGTCTTTACTTGGCTGTGGTGAATTAGAAAGCGCATGGAGCCGAGCACTTCAGAGATTTTCTTTAGGTTCATATTTACCTCTTCGTAGTTCTCAGGTGAAGAGGAACTTGAAGGTGTTGCGCTTGGTCCGTGGTTGCAATTCATCTGAGCCATGGGGTCGTTTTCAGAGGAATTGAGAGAAGGAATGGTGTCTGCTTGCTTGGGATTTTTTTGTGTTTTGGTCTCTTGAAGCTTGTTGATTCAAATACAAATACAAAATCCAGTTGTATCGTCAGTGTCCAAGATATGTAGAACCAATGGGCAGCAGGATCGGGATGAGAGTGTGTGTCTATAGGGGCTTATGTAGAAGTTCGAATCTCTGTGTTGTATGTAAACAAGTCGGCCATTGCCTTGGCAACAATGAACTGAGCTGCATTATGGGTAATGTAGGATGGATATTACATATGCATATTTGTTTGGATCATTATTCCTGCTACAAATGTTGAAGGTGGAGCTCATTTTAACTCCTTTATACCCTGTTGTTCAGTTTGGGTAGTTAGGAAGGGTTTGAAACATTATGTGCAAAGTAACTAAAGCTGCCAGATGTAGTGGAGTAAAAAGTACAATATTTCCCTCTGAGATGTAGTGGAGTGGAAGTACAAAGTTGAATAAAATATAAATACTGAAGTAAAGTACCTTGAGTTTGTACTTAAGTACAGTACTTAGAGTACAAATATACTTACATTCCACCACTGATCATAATATTTACTACCACTCACAGCTTATCAAAACGGATCATGATGGGTCCTTTCTCAGTGATAATCATACATTTTCAGACGACAACACTTTGGACATAGTATTTATTTCAGTCTTAAAAGTTTATAACAACTTCTGGATAACATAACATGTAAAATAAACACAAAAAAAAGAAAACAAATACACATTTTTAATCGCACCCCAGGTTGACATAATTAGAATTAATAAAAGCAGTTTTTGCAAAAATAAAAATAACAATAAAATCACAGAATGTCTCCCCCCCCCTCCCCCAAAAACATCTGTTGTAGATTTTCAGTACATCAGGAGTCTGAACACCTTATGTGAGAGAAGCTGATGTAAAAGGCCAGACACTCTCCTCTACGTTTCAACAGGGTGGCGTGTGAGCACTTTAACCCATTCTGGATACATATTCAAGCCAGCGAAAGGTGATTTGAAGGTTTCGGGTGTAAGACGGGCCCAAAAAACCCTCAGGCCTTCTTTTTACAAGCAAAGCCCAGCACCTGGAAATGTCTTAAAAAAAACACAAAACAAATGGAGCTTCTCTAATTAAGGAGCCAAGATTTAATCCAAATCTGTTTTGTTTTTTTTGCACAAATATCTGTAACGTTCCCCAATCATCACACTACCTACAAAGCAAATCCCCTTTATTTCAGTTCAACATTCTACAAATTTAGTACAAAAGGTTGAAGCGATTGGCATCGTTGGTATAATACAAGACTGTTGTGTTTTAGGGAAAACGGCTCCATCTACGCTCAGTAGTTGGCTTTATAATTCGGTGAAATGCCCGACCTTTGCGTTTGAAAACGGCGAACAATCTCCATGCAGCCGAATAAAGTTCATATACCTTTTTATCCTCTTTTTTTTTCAAATATATATTTATTATATATAAAATACTGTTTCATTCATAAAAGCCTTACTTTGTACAATATCTGGGTGGATGTGTGTCAGTGAGCATTGATGTAAATGTGTGTATCTGTGTGTGAACGCGTGAGTGTGTGTGAGCGAAAAAGAACCTGGAAAGTTTGTCTTATAACAAACAGCTGGTAGCGATTCAGGACCTTCTACACTAAGAAGAGAAAGGTGTTTTACACAATATACACATTTTATTACTTACAAAAAAAAAAAAAGATAAAGAGGGAGAAGGTGTTCAGGCTGATGGTTAGGAGGCGGGGCTACAGCAGGGTTAGTACCACCAAATGTAACGTTAAACGACAGGAAAAATGACGGAGAAAGAGAGAGAAAGAGCATGTGAATGAAGAGCTAGTAATAAAAAAAAAGTCAGTCTCACTAAGGAAAAGCTCATCGTCAGTGCATCTCTCATCTTGGATGTTCCGAAGTCAAAGTGCCGATTTGGTAATCCACTCCTCATCAATAAGGCCAAAAACAAAACAAAAAAAGAAAAGAGCACTTCTGCCTAGAAATGGTTCAGAATCACATTTTCAAAAGTGATTGTTTTTTGTTTTTTTTAAGAAGAGAAAGGAAACGATGAGAAAGAAGGGAGAAGGATGAAAAAAATGCACTTTTTGTTGTCACACTCATCATGGCACCTTTAAGTGGATATTTGTCTGCTTTCATTTTGAGGTACTTCTTAAGAGAAACAAAGAATAAATGTAAGATTTATTTACGTCTTTCTTTTTTAAATTTTCTTTTTTTTTAAGCTGTGTTGCACAGTAGCACCATTGTTTAAAGTTGTAAGATGTTTTGTATCCGGAAGACAATGCACCATTGGAGTTCCACCTCTTCGTCCGTCTCCCTCCCCCCCCCCCGACTTGTCCCCCGTCAACCAATCATCTCGTGTTATTGATCGTGCGTCCCCGGCAGCGGTGGGTTTTGCATGTTGCTGTGTGCCGTTACGTCCTCTTCATGCAGACCACGCAGCGGCTGACACGCGTCCGTAGGTTACCCGCCTTGAGAGTCTCCGACTGGGGCTTCCTGCGAGGGCCAAAGGGGGGAGGCGGTTAAGTTAGGGAGAAGGATACATGTGCATATAAATATATAAAGTTAAGATATATGGATTATTTATTAAATCTATTGTAATCTATACCCTGAAAAACCTTCTTTTGTGTCAATGTCACATCTTTTTAGTGCATCTTTGTCCTCCTGACTAACCCCACAACATCCTGAGTAATCGGCTTACAGAGCAAGGACTCACTGACACCCCGGCTTCTCTAAATACTGAGCCATCCTGCCAGCACTCGTTTCCGTACCTGAACATCTCGGATGGTTCTACGGTGGCCAGCCAGAAGCTGTAGGAGTTGCCGTAGTAGTTGCACGTCCCTCTGCCGTGGCACTCGATGAAGGGTGCGCTGCGGAACTCCTCCAGGCAGGAGCCGGGGGAGGCCAGGGCCTGACCGGAGCCCTCCGCACCCGCACTGGTGTGCTGGGGAGGAAGAGGGTAAAAGTCCGGTTTAAGCATGTAGCTGTGTGTTCTGGGGGGCATTTGGTAAACAAGAGTGGAAACACGTGTATTTGTGTACCATCATGAAGGAGTATCCGATCCACAGAGCTTCCCAATTTGACGGGCAAGTGGGAATCTGGATGGTCTGACTGTGGACTGCGATCACCATGGCTGGAGCTTCACACACTGCACACCTAGACACAGAAATGTCAAATCAAACACCTTCCCTTTCCTCGTCTCTGTCTTCTTCCTCCCCCCTCTCTCTCTCTCCATCCCTACCTGCTGATGTAAGGCTTGATGCCCTCTCCGGTGATGGGGGCCATGGACATGGGCATGGGCTCAGGCGTGGACAGCCAGTAGGAGTAGTCGTTGCGGGAGGCAAAGTTGCAGACGTTGTTGATGTTGCAGAACATGAAGGGCATGGTGCTGAACCTGCGCAGACAGCTGCCGGCCGAGCCTGGATCAGAAGGAAGAGGAAGGTCAGATGTATGACGATGGAATAAGATTGCAACCGGAGGAGTCGCCCCCTGCTGGTTAGTAGAGAGATTGGAAGATAAGCTCATTGAGCATGCTCAGAATCTTCTCTGGTATTTAAGGTATTGTTGTAGTAGCCTTTATTGCCACCTACTGGCCCGGTGAGTGTTTAGTCGTTTTTGTATTCTAGTGTGAATGGAGATATTTTGCAAAAACAAAAGTGGTGTAGACAGAATCCTATTTTAAACTGTAGAGGAAAATAGCCGTTTGAATAAATATCTGTGTATGTGTAGACGGGGTTTAAAATGACTTCGTACCGAGGTCCTGTCCGTGTGCCCTCTCGTTGCCCTGCACGTACAGCAGGGAGTAGCCGTCGTAGATGAGGCCAGTTCCGTCGGGACAGTAGGGCACCTCCTGACCCTGGCTGTGTCGGGTGATGAGGAAGCCGTGGGCCGCAGAGACCGATCCTGGAGGACCGGGAACTCCCTGTGGACCGTCTGAACCAGGGGGACCAGAGTAGCCACGCTGACCTACGATCAGGGGAAAGGCGTGTGTTAGAAAAGGGGAAGCTACTGCGATGCAGTCGGAGCTTAAGGATCAAGCAAAAATAGCCTTACGTCACTCTAAAAATGATTGTTTGTGTTTATTAATGATTATCATTGAGTTGTGTATGTCTGGTTCCTGTTTCACTCACCAGGCTGACCGGCGGGTCCGTTATCTCCCTTCCTGCCGGGTGGGCCGCTGAATCCTGGAGGACCCTCCAGACCAGGGTCCCCGGGACCACCAGGCTGACCTGAGAGCAGGGAGACAGAGAAGAGTTCTCTTTGTCAGATGAGTGACCCGAACCTGGTGCTAGAATTACTTTAAATTTAAAAAAGGTTAGACAAAGAATAGTTTGATTTAAAAGAAGAAGAAAAATAATAAAAAAATTACAAACTCATCACTAAAACATTATCAAAACCATGCATGAAAAAATAAATACATCTTTTTTCGGCGCAACAAACGTGCGACTTCTTCTGCCATCTCTTTTCTTGTCGCTGTTATTGCAACAATGACGGCGATCAAATTAAACCGTTGTCGTAATTTCTCAGCCCCAACTGTCGCATCTCAAAAGTCCACAATCACCTGGAAGTCCGTCTCGCCCAGAGGAACCAGGAAGTCCTCGACCACCGGGCAGGCCCTGAGGACCAGGGAGTCCTCGATCTCCCTTCACCGAAGTGATGGGTTGAGCCACGCCGGGGTCACCAGGAGGGCCTGAAAGGGAAATTATTATTTCAAAATCATTTCCGAGGCTCCATGAGACATTTGAACTTATTTTAGAAGTGTATCTTAATGTTTTGATAATAACAATATGAGTAACTGTGTTCACCCACCAGTGGGTCCGAGATCTCCAGGATCTCCAGGAAGACCACTGCCACCGGGGATTCCCGAGTCTCCCTTTGGTCCTGGCAAAAACACAAACGACTCAAGTGTTTGGGCATTGCTTATGATGAATTTGCAATATTAAAATGAACTTTTGGACGGTAGTAAGAACACTGAACGATGATGTTGCAGTATTGCGGACTAACCAGGGAATCCAGGAACGCCAGGCAGACCGATATCTCCCTTCAGACCAGGACTACCGGGAAGACCAGAGGGACCCTGGTTAGAAAGAAGTCCAGACAGGTAGACATTACTCTCTTAGAGCATCTGCAAAAAATTAAAGGTAGACATTTTTTTACTTCAAAATTGAGAAAAATGATCTTACTGAGAATCCGGGAACGCCACTGTCTCCCTTCTGTCCCCCGAAGCCCGGCTGTCCAGGAGCCCCGGGGATCCCCTTCTCTCCCTTAACGCCGCCGCTTCCTGCGGGCCCACGGGGACCCTGTGGGCCAGGTGAACCTTCACACGGAGACGCCAAAGGTCAGGCACAGAATAATATTACAAATACACGCTTCTCCTCATCATATTCTCACCAGGATCAGTTAGGTATCAATTCAAAAAAAGAAAATCTAAGAAGGAATTTTGCTTCCGTCTAGTGGTTGATCTTCTTGGAACGACTAAACTTAGATTAAAACTAACTAAATGCAGCCAGAGACCAGACGCATTAATTAAACAAATTAAACAAATCAACTGCACTTACTCACTTATACTATGTTAAAATAATGGTACAGCATGAAACACAAGCAATATCTCAGACGTCAACTTCCATTGTATTCATGGAAACTTCAACACAAAACTGAAGAGTTTCATTTCACTTACATAGCCTTTATATTTCTATGTGTTTAAATTCATTAAATGATATAAATAATATTACGAGGCACCAAAAGAAAAGGAGAAAGACAAATAAAGGAAAATCAAAGAACAATTTTGTTCCCTGAAAATGGCGAGAAAACATCAGAATGAGACTCGTCAGTAACACAGTTGGAGTAAATGTGTGGACGTTTTCTTTTATGTGTGTGTTTGTGTGACTAAGAGGAGTCCTGAGTGTCCAGCCTGTCCTGTGGGGTAAAGAAAGGGTAAAAAACTGCCAACAGTTATCTGACTGTCACTCATTCTCACAAACACCCTCTCCATGATGTCAATAAAAAATATCAATATACCACACAACAAAACCTATCAGGATACAGGGTTGGGATACATGCATCTTCAAAAGCAGTAAATCAATATCTTTAAAATTTAAGAACTCAAAAGAGTTTAAAGAAGTTTAAATTTGAATTCTACAAATTCAACCTTTGAACTGAGAGCGTTTGAAGCGAATCTACCTCAACCGCCGCACGACACACATTAAAACATCGCCCTTCATTTCCCCACAAAGAGCAAAATATCAAAACCATCAAACCACTGGAGTCTAACCTGGAGGACCTACGGTTCCCAGAATTCCCAGGTAAAGCCAAACCGGGTTGACGGCACAGGGCAACAACAACAACAACAAAAAAAAAGAGGTTTAGACAGAAGCAAGCATCGTTACAGAAACAGTCAGACTAAACAAGATATTTTATCTTTGAGTAGCAAGGAGGCATTAACCAAAAAGGCTTCAAGGACAACTTCAGAAGCTCCACTACTGTCTGTGAGTCTCATCTATTCATTTAATGACGAGGATGCTGACTGTGCAGCTGTAACCACTTAAAAATAAGCTGCTGTTAATCTTGAGTACGTTTTCTGCTTTGTCTGTCAAAGCACTTTGTAAACTCTTCATTTAAAAGAGCTATATAAATAAAGTTATTATAAGTAAAAGTGATAAAAGTAGCAACCAACAGCGCTCCCGTATCTCAACATTTGCTCCAAGCTCACTGCTGAGGCTTTGAAATGCCAGAAATGCAGTAGAAGAAGAAATATTACTGATGCGTGTTCTCAAATTAGTCATTTGTACAAAATGTAGCTTTTTGGCCAAATACCTTCAAAACTAATGAGATTCCCATGATCCTCAGCTTGTGTTTAGTTAGCCAGTGTTAGCATGCTAACAAGCTCAACTAACATGGTGGTGATTAAACATAGAAATATATTTACACCTGCTAAACATCAGCATGTTCACGTCGTCTTTGTTAGCATGTAGCATGATAGCATTTTGCTCAAACCACTGGAGACAGAGAATAGTGTTTTCTCTTTTAGTTTAGGAAGGTTTCTAACTGAGTGAAAAGAGTCAGAAGTATCTGAGCCACAATAAGAGCTCATCCAATCCTCTAAATGCTGAGGAAGGTGCTTCAGTGCTTCCTTTCCTATCTCCTGCAGCGCAGGTCAACAGCGAGTTGGGAGCACATTTTGTGATTTGGGAGATACCGCTGGTATGTTTAAATTATAACAGTGCTAATGTACAAAACAGCATTTCAGTAAGAATCCAACAGAAATAGAATTACAGTATGTGACCCTACCAACAACGATTCAATGTTTCAGGTGAGTTAGTGATATTATGGTGCGTTTTTTGTGCACAAACTGTATGATGCTCTAATCATAACACGTTCTGCATGTGAGATTTGTATTTGACCCACATGTGATCCACATGACATGCTAATTGTGCCAAAAAAAACTACTGCGCGTTATTGTTTTTAACACGCAACAATTATTATCATTTCTATTATTTCTTTTGAAAGTGCTTACTTGTTACGGGTGCATTATACTACCATCAGTGTGCATGGAAAGTGAAAGAAGACAGTCGTTAGAAGAAGAAATAAAAGAGAAGAGGAAATGATTTCCCAGTAGAAATGTGCTCCCTTTAGATCACAGAGTGCAGGTTAAACTCAGAGGAACTGTGAGGAACGTGCAGTTGACGTCTGGGCGTCGATGATCTGACCTGAGGGACCTGCGGTGGCCGGACGCACGTGTCATCACATGAGGAGGCGGGGCCACACCGCAGTGGGTGGGGCCAAGCCACAGAAGATACAAGGGGGTAAAATGTCATAGCTTCATCTTGTCACCCTGACACCTGATAAAACACTTATTTTTACTCGCCTAACACAGTGCTGGTGTGTGGTCAGTACTGACATAGACTTTTAAAAACTACACGATATAAATGAACAGCACACTAGATCCTACTGTTGAGGCTTCTAGTGTGTTCAAGTTATGTCTTAAATATTTGGGAGACAACATGCATCAGCCTAATGTATTACTATTAAATATATGTATACTTTTTTTTTAAATGTATTTTTAAAATAAATATTTTACAGTCTGTGTCATCTACTGATTTTAGCATACAAATTCCCCAAAAATAAATGTTACTACTTTGTAAGAGTTTCCATGTATTTTGATGTGAACGTGAGTAAATTGCTATATACATTAGATATGTACAGACC